ACATTTCATTATCCACAGTAGGTAACATCATCAGTGCTAGTAAGGAGTGGGGTTTGCTCTCAGTTTAGATTGCAATGGCTTGCCCTGTCTGTGTTGATGGAGGCCTTCCTTTTATTGGACACTTTCAATGAAGATCAGTAAGACATTGGCTGGAGACCTTAAACCAGTGGTGGAATCCAATTTTGTTTACTACTGGTTCTGTGGGTGTGGCTTGGGGGGCATGGCAGGGGAAGAATCAGGGGTGGGTTCTACTTACCTTTACTACCCGTTCGCAACGGGGCTGCGCACGTGTGCGTGCGCTCTTCTGTGCATGCACAGAAGCATTCTGATGACGTCAGGGTTGGTGGGTGGAGCCTCCCGATAGTTTTACTACCAGTTCTATAGAACCGGTGCGAACCGGGGGCAACCCACCATTGGGAACTCATCTCACCCCACAGGGCCCTTGTGGGGATAATAGTAGGCAGGGTACCCCTTTCTCTCTTCCTCATCCTGCCAGCAGGGTGACTGAAGGTTGGTGGAGGATCATTTTGAAGTAAGGGACAAATACTATTTTCCCACTCCTATGTGAAGAGCAAGACTGGATGCCATCTCTATTCACCACCAATTCCATTTTCCATTTGTTTTCCTGTCCAATTAAAGAAGGCCCCTCCCAATTAATCATCTTGTAGTTAGGATTCTATTAAGAGGATCCATTAAACTGAGCACTCAGTCGTACTTCAAAGCGTTGGCAAAGCTTTCACAAAACCACAATGTGGGCAGAGTTGCCAACTTTGCAAATCACCCCAAACCTCTGCTTTTCGCAACCATTTGATTTGTGCCTGGTAAAGGGAAAGGTTTCCCCCATCCAGGTGTGTCTGATTCTAGGGGGTGGGGCTTATCTCAGTTTCTTAGCTGTGTTGTCTGAAGACATTTCCGTGGTCATGTGGCCAGAATGACAATACACCGAGGCGCATGACATGCTGTAATATTACCACTGAAGTGGAACCTATTTATCTACTGGCATTTGCATGCTTTCGGACTAACAGGTGGAAAGGAGCTGGAGCAAGGAACGGGAGCTCACTCTGTCATACAGTGCTCAGGTCTCAAACCCAGGCAGTCAGCTTTCTAGCTGACAAGCTCAGCATTTTTAACCGCTGAGCCATCGTGCCTCTGATTTGCACATACAATGCTGTAAAACTGAATGATCTGGAAAAAAATGACTTTGTCTTTTAATATCAATACACCTGTTGACAGCCAATGAGAAAAGTGGTAGGTTTTCTGCTAAGTTCGTGTGTATCTTCCTGTCTCCATATGGAACTCAAAAGGCTCTCTCCCAAGGTGGCATCTAATTCACAATGAATAGAATAGAATAGAATAGAATAGAATAGAATAGAATAGAAAATAGAATAGAATAGAATAGAATAGAATAGAATAGAATAGAATAGAATAGAATAGAATAGAATAGAATAATAACTTTATTGTCACTTTGAATATACACTAATTACACTAATTGGCATACATTAAAATGAAATTTCTTTGCATACTTCTCAAAGAGTCACCATCTCCAATATACACCACACAAACATGACTAAATAAATAAATAAATAAATACAAAAATGTCCAACATTTGAATATCTTTTCCTTTGCAACTGTGTAATCAATTGCTGAACTGTGACATATTTCTTGACTGCTTCTTCTCTTACACTTGACGGTTGATCCTAAGAGGCAGATGCTCTCCATCACTTCCTTATCTTCACTGTTAATTCTGAGTTTGGTTAAAAGTCTGTGGAGATTCTCAGTCATCCAGGTCATGGTTGTCTCAAAAGTGCTTTTTCCAAAAGTCAACTGGACTTCTTAATTTATTTTTCTTTGAAAACATTTTGCTTTACACCCAAAAACCATCCACAGCAATAGCAATAATACTTAGACTTATATACCGCTTCATAGTGCTTTTACAGCCCCCTCTGTAAATCGCTCTGTAAAGTGATTTACAGAGTTAGCATATTGCCCCCAAACAATCTGGGTCCTCATTTTACCAAGTGTTATGGTCCACCAGCAGCCTCCAGAGTCGGACAGTGAGGAGGCTGGGGAGGAACATGGGCCAGTCCTGGAGTCTGGGGAGGGCTCTGCATCAGAGGCAGAGATGGGGCCAGGGCCATCTGGGAGTTATTTATGGACTCCGGATATCCAGAGTTGGATATCAGAGAGGCAAAGGAACAGGAGGTGCCTGTTCTTAGTGCGCACATGTGCAGAGCTGCCAGAAGGCAAGAACAGTTAAAACTAAAGGGATGACTTGGGAGTAAGGCCTGGAGATGATTGGCCCCTCCCATAAGGCTTAAAAGAGGAGCAAAGGCACATAGGCCCTTTGCAGGAAAGCAATGTTGTTAATTCTACTTCCAGTCGGCATCTCTGTTTGATTCTGGACTCCATGTGGCTTTGCCAAATAGGTCTTTGGCAGTGTTAAAGGAGATAAAGGTTGGTGATTATCCCAAAGGACTTCTCCCGAAGGACTTTTTGCAACTAATGTGAATGAACATAATTCACAGCTGCAATAGAAGAGTTTTTGGGACTACTCGTGTGTTTTAATGACTCAGGAAGCCTAGGTCACAACACCAACTTCGGAAGGATGGAAGACTGAGTCAAGCTTGAGCCGGTGAGATTTGAACTGCTGAACGGCAGCTAGCAGTCAGCTGAAGTAGCCTGCAGTGCTGCACTCTAACCACTGCACCACCTCAGCTCTTCATAGAATGTCACAGAGGGCACCATGGCCTGCACAATTCTGATCTTTGTAGGTACAAACACATCACAACATTTGAATACCTTTTCCAAGGCCTTTGCAGTGGTGTGATCAATTGCTGGTCTGTGGCATATTTCTTGACTGCTTCTTCCTTTACAGCTGATGGTTGATCCTAAAAGGCAGAATCTCTCCACCATTTCTTTATCTATGCTGTTAATTCTAAGGTTGGTTGCTCTACCTCAGGGGTCGGCATCCTTAAACGCTCAAAGAGCCACAAAGGTCCTAACCAGAAGCCCCCCCATTCAATTTTGGAGCCGACCGGAAGTCCAGTTCCCCCACCATAGAGTCTCCTCCTAGCACGGCGTCGTTTTTCCTCTACCTGTCCTAACCAAAGGCCCTATCAATTGTGGAGCCGACTGGTGACAAGGAGCCACAGCAGAGGGATGAAAGAGCCACATGCGGCTCCAGAGCAGCGGGTTACTGACCCCTGCTCTCTCTGCTGTCATTGGTTTGGTTTTCTTTACACTTAATTTAAGCCCCATTTTGTTCACTTTGCTTTGTGCCTTGCTTTCCCTCGTCTGATGGGTACACAAACCAGCGGACCTCGCCTTCAACAGCCTTCCTCCTCATTCCAAACTTGCCAGCTAATTGTAATTAATCATGACCATGGAGGAAGCAATTAAATCAACTGCCTTTAATCAAAGACATTTCCTTGAATAAAATTCAGTCACCCGAGTGTTTGTCTTCACTGCCTTTAACCAAAAGATTGGAAGGGCCAGCATGAGGGCAAACCTGCTTTTATTCGAAGGGAAAGCTGAATCCCTGGAAACACATTTCAGAGGTTAAAGAACCAAGAGACCCATCAGGCTGAGCCAAATCTTGGATTTGCAGGGAAGAGGCCTGCTTCGGGTGGAATGGGACAATTCGCCAAAGCCAACTTGTGGTCAACTTGCCACAAGACAATTCAACCATTCCATTGAATAATTTAAAATAATTTTAAAAATATTTTTATTTTTTGTTGGTCACATTTCCTCCTTTGGTATCTTTTCTTTAATGATTCTATTCCACCATTTCTTCGATATTAACATAACATTAATATCAAGACAGACACAGACTTCAGAGGATAATTAGAACTGCAGAAAAAACAATGGCTACCAACATGCCTTCCATTGAGGACCTGTATACTGCACGAAGTCAAAAAGAGAGCTTCTGAAAGTATCTACAGACCCCTCCCCATCCTGGACATAAACTGTTTCAACTCCTACCTTCAAAACGATGCTATAGGATACGGCACACCAGAACAACTAGACACAAGGACAGCTTTTTTCAAGAATGCCATCACTCTACTAAACAAATAATTCCCTCAACACTGTCAAACTATTTACTAAGTCTGCACTACTATTAATGTTCTCATCTGCTCATCCTTCCCATCACCCATCTCCTCCCACTTATGACCGTAACCTTGTTGCTGGTATCCTTATGATTTGTATTGATATTGTTTCCTGATTGCTTATTTGTTCCCTATGACTATCATTAAGTGTTGTACCTTCTGATTCTTGATGAACGTATGTTTTCTTTTATGTACTCCGAGCCTATGCACCAAGACAAATTCCTTGTGTGTCCAATCACACTTGGCCAATAAAAAATTCTATTCTATTCTATTCTATTCTATTCTATTCTATTCTATTCTATTCCATTCCATTCCATTCCATTCCATTCCATTCCATTCCATTCCATTCCATTAATGTAACTTTGGTTCCGTAGCGAATAGTCCCGCGCCGGAGTCGCCCATGGCAAGTTGGCTGTGGCGAATTGGCCGTGATGAGTGGGCAATCGCGAATGTGGGCGCAGGACCGGCTGAACGAAAGAAGAAATACCCCCCCCCCCGGCAGACAGCAGAAACTTGGGGACCGATGGCTCGTTTGAAGGAACTTTTCCATTCTCGTTCGTGTCTGGAAGAAGAAGGCGCGCACCTCAGCGTCCCCGTCGGAGCTTGAAAGTCGCGCTTCCTTCCAGCCGCGGCTAGTCGCCTGCTCGGGAGGGAGGAGAAGGCGAAGGCGAAGGAGAAGGCAGAGACGGCAGGCGTGGCTGGCTGCTGGGCGCCCGGCCCCTTCAGCGTCGAGGGTTTGCAGCGTCGTCGGAAAGACGAGCCGGCGAGGCGGGGGTTGTGGGGGGGGGGGGGGGGGGGGGGGGGGGGGGGGGAGAAGGATGCCATGTGAGTCGGGGAAGCAAAAGGCAGGTGGAGAAGCCAGCAGGATGGAGAGGGGCCGAGGGAAGAGGAGGAGAAAGAGCCAGCGGTGGCGGCGGCAGAAATCGCTGTTACTGCTGTTGTTGCCGCCTCTGTTTTCTCCGGCCGCGCTCTTGACACTGCCCAGCTCTCCAAAGCGCAGCGCCACGCGAAGCCGGCAACTCTTCTAAACTTGGGCGTAGGCGGAGAAGCAGCATCCAGCCGAGGAAGCGGGGAGGGAGATCCGCGTCCCTCCACTTGCCTCTCTCACCCACCCACCCTCTAACCCTCCCCACGCTTTTCCCGAGTGGCTTAAAGAACCGGCGGGGAGCGCGCAAGGCTGCTCGGCAAGAGTTCCCGTGTGCGCCCAGGGCGCATCCCGTGGCCAAGTCTCAGGCTCCGTCTGCCTCCTGAGCCCGGCCGAGCGAGGCTCAGTCTCCATCCTCCCTGCCAAGGGAAAGACGGCTCCGGAGGGCTGGCGCCAGCGGGCAGCATCGCAGCGGAGCCCCTCAGCCCTCCGGGTAGGCGGGCCATGCCGGGCTGACCTGCCGCGGAACTCAGCTTTCTCCATGCCGTGAGCGCGCTCGCCTTTCCTGCCCAGCGCGATGGCCGGGGCTCCAGGCGGGGACCGCTCCGTGCTGCCTCCGTCCGCGGTCCACGGCAGCGGCAGCAGCAGCGGCGGTGGTGGTAGTGGTGGCGGCGGCGGAGAAGCCCCGCGCGTGGAATTCGTAGCCCTGACCGCCGTGCAGACCGAGAAGAGCGAGGCGACCCCCGCCGCCTCCGCTGGATCCAGCCCCAGGCGCCTGGGACTCCTCGGGACCCCCTTACCGGTCCCACGCGGGGGCTCCGGAGCTCGATCCACGTCGCAGAAGCGATATCGTCGCCTTCAGAACTGCCTCTACAACGTGCTGGAAAGACCCCGAGGTTGGGCGTTCATCTACCACGCTTTCATGTGAGTCTCGGCCTGTCTTTCCTTCTTCGGTCCAGAACTTTGTTTCAGGGGATCCCGGTCGGTCCCTGGGATCTTCTGCTGGGTTGTCAGTAGTGCTTCCCCTCGCCCCGCGTGTCAGAGTCACTGAACTCTTTTGGTCTGGTAAGAGGGCCGTGGTTAGGAGAAGGTGTCCCGGTGGTTTTGTTCACACGAGGCAGGGAACCCGCTTACCGAACTGACCCATTTTCTAAGCCTGGTACAGAGCAAAGAACCAGCCAAATTGGTTGAATTCGTGCCCTTGGCTAAACCTTAAAGAAATTAACCAAGGTTGATACTAGGCAAACTTAGCTTGTGTGAACATTGTCCTTAGATTGTTAAGTGGCCAGGTAAGTGAGCGCCTTGCAAGAACACAGCTTCTATTTTTGTCTTTCCTCTCTGTAGCTGATACCCACGCAAATTAAGATGCAAAGTCAGATTCCGCTACCATATAGTTTAAATCTTGGGAGAGGAAACCCCCTCCTTTTTTTGAGGGGGGGGGAGAATGGTGGTAATTTAAGAAACTTAAGAAAAAGAAACATTACACAAAAACTTTATGCCTGTTTCATTTCTTGGTTAAATGTTGGAAAGTATATCAAATAAACTGTTTTAGGACAGTGCTCCATCTGTCTCGATGAACTGGAGTTGGGTGCAGACAAAGTTATGCAGTAATTCTTTCAAAGGTTCACAAAATTATTGAAACCGTGTGTGCCGGTTGCTCTTGATAGGACCATATAGATTAGATTAGCTGAGCCAAACATCCATCCACACCTGTCAGGTAAATAAGGTAGAGCAAAGTTTTGCAAGTATGCTTGGGTGTGAGAGTGCTGCCTTTGAAGCTGTCACAAGGCAGTTATAGAAGAGGCTAAACTGCACTGCTTCTAAATGGGAAGCTATTGCTAGATTCAAGGATCCTTGGAAGGCAGCTTTGTCCCAAAGGATGCTCACCAGGTGTGCTGGACCCATCACTTCAGAATGCTTAGCCAGACTGGACAAGGTTTATTAGCAAGGTCTCTCCCATCCTCTTCCATCCTCAGATTGTACTTTTATAAAATTCAAAAGCAGATTTCAGACAATCCATTCTGATCACTGTAAGGTAAAGGTAAAAGTAAAGGTAAAGGTTCCCCTCGCACATATGTGCTAGTCGTTCCTGACTCTAGGGGGCAGTGCTCATCTCCGTTTCAAAGCCAAAGAGCCAGCGCTGTCCGAAGATGTCTCCGTGGTCATGTGGCCGGCATTACTAAACGCCAAAGGCGCACAGAACGCTGTTCCCTTCCCACCAAAGGTGGTCCTTATTTTTCTACTTGCATTTTTTATGTGCTTTCGAACTGCTAGGTTGGCAGAAGCTGTGACAAGTAATGGGAGCTCACCCTGTTATGTGGCACTAGGGATTCGAACCGCTGAACTGCTGACCTTTCTGATCGACAAGCTCAGCGTCTTAGCCACTGAGCCACCACATCTCACAATCACTGTAAAGGAAAGAGTAAATACCCCCTCCCTGTCCCTCTCCCCACTTGCCTTGTTTTCTTTTTCTCTGACTTATAAGAAGCACTAGAATCATCAGACTGGGAGGGACCTTCGAGGTCTTCTAGTCCAGCCCCCTGCCCAAAGCAGGAGTCAATAGGCTTGCTTGAAAGATGAATCACAGTGCATGGAAAGATTGATTTATTCTTTAGCAAAGTATGTCCTCCTTCCCCCCTCCTTCAAGATCTTGATAGATGCTTACCTGTGCCCATCCTTTCCTAGATGCCCCTGGTGTCTACCGTTGCTTGCATAATCGTCCATGTTTTTCCGCCCAAAGTTGTTGGAGACGAGATGGGCGGCAAATAAAATGAGTCTCCGGAGAAAGGCGGCATATAAATTGAACTAATAAATAATAAATAAATAAAATGTATAAATAATTAAAAAAATGATAAATAAATGATGTTCCACCCCATCCTGAAGCGCTTCCTACAAGCACGGAGCTACCATGATTTTTCTACTCTGTCTAGCTAGCTGCCAAAGTGACAAGTCAATTCCAGGAAGAAACTATGTTTGTATCATATAATCAAAGCTAGATTGTCATCCTGCGGATGGAGACCCCAGTTTGATATCCTGGTTTAGGAGCTCACCAATCCTTGGTGAGTGCTGGAATCATCATCAAGGGAGACACGGTCAACCCTGGACAATTTGGAACCGAGAAGCTTCTCTTCTTGCTGATGAAAGGATCAAGAAATAATTGGCACAAAGATTTTTTTTTCCTATGTAACTCTAAAGCTCTCCTGGCTTTTAACGGAGAGAAGTTGAGTTGGGAAGATGCCCTGTGCTTTAAGAGTTGTGTAAGTTCCAGAGAGTGACTCGGTCAGCAACTTCACCCTGCTTTTCACCGGCTCCGCTCCGTTACAAACCCACATCCTGTTTTTACTCAACATGCTAATCTGGTTGTTTTTGACAGGTTTGCTTCTTTCTTTGATAGGCTGGGTTAGCTTTAGGTACCTGCATCGATGAATTCACTGACCAAGTTAAGCAGGATGTTCCAACTTTTTTCCCAAAGAACTTTCCAACAAGTTTCAGCAGATGGAAGATGATGAGAAAAAAAAAGCTACTCAGACCCTCCCACAGTGTTTAGTTTACATTTTAAAAAGTGCCTTTAAAGATGGATTTGATCTTGCATTTTGCTGCAGCCTTGTAGTTCCTCTAGCATCCCAGCTGCTTTCCCATTTAATCTCCAGCTCAGATATTTCCAGATATATACTTTAGCTTCATAATAAAAAAATATTTATCTGAAGTGCACCCACGCTAGGAGACGCAAATCTGCATAGGCTCATTTACAGCAGTCAATTTAAATTTAGACATAATTACTAGGATTTATTTAAATTTCAAGGAGATTAACCTCTAATGACCCATCTAAAATAACCTTGATCAAATTAAAATTTAGTTAATTTTGACTCTGTTGCTAACCCTTCCACGATAGTTAATTAATTTGCAGTAAATATGAACAAGTGTAAAAAAAATGAACATATAACAGTGGCTGGTAGATTCCCTCCTCCTCCTAAGTCTTTTCTTTGCACCCAACTGATTTCAAAGTTTTGAACAAGTACTAATCCAAAATTATATTGAATTGACGATGGGGATGAAGTTCATTTCCCATTCTGGTTCCTTCCAACCTTCTCTAAAATTAAATCAGCTCGCCTTCAGTTAGTAACTTCATTCATTTCCTAGTGCTTTCTCCAGAAATTGAATTTAAGATACAATAATAAGTTCAAGATTTGATGGCTGGTGGAAAGAAGCCTAGAGAATGAGGCAGAGGAGGAAGAGAAAAGGAGGGGAGGAAGAAGATTGGAATGGGGAAGGAAGGAAGGAAGGGAGGGAGGGAAGGAGGGGGGAAGGAAGGAAGCAAGGAAAAAACAGGGCCTATACAGGGATATATATACAAATTGTACATAAGAATTTCAATTACATCTGCAGGATTTGGATTTGACTAATCTAGAGAAAAGAAGAATTAGGAGTGACATGATAGCAGTATTCCAGTATTTGAGGGGCTGCCACAAAGAAGAGGGGGTCAAATTATTCTCCAAAGCAGCGGAGGGCAGGACAAGAAACAATGATTGGAAATTAATCAAAGAGAGAAGCAACCTGGAATTAAGGAAAAACTTCCTAATAGTGAGGACAATGAACCAGTGGAACAGCTTGCCTCTAGAAATCGTGGGCACTCCAACACTGGAGGTTTTTAAGAAGAGTTTAGACAGTCACTTGTCTGAGATTGTAGAGGTTCTCCTGCTTGAGCAGGGGGCTTGACTAGAAGACCTCCAAGGTCCCTTCCAGCCTATTCTATTCTATTCTTTTTTTAAAAAAATATACTTTATTGAATTTTATATATATACAAAAAAAGAATCTCACTTCTATTAACATCGGATCTGCAGTGTTTATACATATATACATAAAATATATCTGGTGTCACTTAGACTATTTGTTGCTATTTATTTATCGCACCTTATACTCCTTTTTTAATTCTGTCGTTCATCCATTCATATCACCTTTCCCACACAGTATAATACTCTTGAGTTCTCATTATTTATTTCATACGTTAATTTACTCATCTCTGCGCACTCCAGTATTTTCCTAATTATAAGTTCTTCTGGTGGCAGGGTTTTCTCTTTCCAGAATTCTGCATACGCCAGTCTAGCAGCTGTGGTTATATGTATTATCAGATGGATCTTTTTCTTTCCATACCCCTTCTTTACTATTCCCAGGATAAATATTTCCGGTGTCAATTCTATGTCTTCTCCAATTATTTCTTGTAGCCATCTCCAAATTCTATTCCAGTATCTTTTCGCTTCAGGGCATGTCCACCACATATGAAAGAAGGTGCCCTGACCATAGCCACATTTCCAGCAACTAGGGTGCATATTGGGAAACATCTTGGCTAGTCTGGCAGGTGCTAGATACCACCTGTGGAGCATTTTATACTGATTCTCCTTATACGTCGCAGCTCTGGTCAATTTATAATTTTTATTCCAAGCCTCTTCCCATTCGATTCGATTCGATTCAATTCGATTCGACTCGACTCGACTCTACTCTACTCTACTCTACTCTACTCTATTCATCATTCAATGAAAAGTGATTTGTTCCTAAGTTGCTAATCAGAGACTCTCTGCAGACAATCGATAGTTGGGGGCCATATGTTTTACCTTTCAAACAAGGAAGAATAAATATTTTAGTACAAAATAGGGCAGTGAGAATTTGCTTTCTCTGTCCACATATCAATTTCCAAGCATTGGGAAAGTAATTCAAAAGGACTTGAACTTCTGAGAATACTACATCAAGTTTGAAAGTTGAGATAATACATGTTTCTCCCAGAATTGAGCAACAATAGGGGCTGAGCAAACATATCTTTAAACGAAGCATTAATCTCATTTTATCTCCTGATGATTTACATAAGCCTTTGCTATATAAACTCAGTGGGATCCAAGGAATCTAAAATATTGTTTTGGGTTAAATATGAT